ATTTACTATACATACCTAATCAAATATTTTCGAAGTCGGTGTGCTTTACTTTGTATGGGCTGGCACTGATTTCGAAAATATTTGATTAGGTATGTATTTAAAAGGTAGGCTTTAATTACTTAGCCAAAGCACACCGACTTCGAAAATATTTGATTAGGTATGTATAGTAAATGAAAACTACCAATCAGTTATTTTTTACTTTTTAGTGCTTTTATTTGAAGTCGGTTTTTATTTTTTTGTTAAAATTTTTTTATTTTTCCCTTTTTAGTGTAGACAGTAGTAGCAAAGTAAGAATTCTAATGTATTAGGCTTGTCAAATCAAACAAAATAAGCCCAAACTCAAAGTATCTACTATTAGCCGTTGAAGAGTTCCACCTATCCACCTTCTGGCCTTGCCATCAGATCAGGTCAACAACACCGAACCACTATACTATCAACGGAAATAGAAATACTTGCAAAGTTTCAAGTCAATATGACAATTAGAAGTAGGTTAAATTCATCATTTGTTGTTTTTCCACCCTTAGGGGTGGTATTTTTTTTTGAAATTTAAATGGGACCAATCTGGAAGTATACCCTTTCAAACAAAACAAAAATTGTCCAAATCGGTTAATAAATGACGGAGTTCTGAGGTAACAAACATAAAAAAAAAAAAAAAAAAAAAAAACATACAGTCGAATTGAGAACCTCCTCCTTTTTGAAGTCGGTTGAAAAATGGCATAACTGTTACGCACCTAGGGACGTGTTTGAGAAAAGTGAGGGTAGGTCACTAGTCTATACATAAATATAATAAAATTCGAAGTCGAATCTATATTCTGTACTGTAAATTTTTTTTAAATCTTATTGAAATAGTCATTATTATCGATACTCAGGCCAAATCTATAGTTTTTTAAATTTTTGTCTGTCTGTCCGTTTGTCTATAACCGCATCACGGAAAAACCACTGGAGGGATTTTGATGACATTTGGTATGACGATAGCTAATTATCCGGGTCAACATATGTATAGGATACTTTTTACTGCGGGAAAATATCTCTTTTTTGAGAAATCTATACTAAACGTTAAAGCGTAAGTAGGGACAAACCCGAGCGTAGCGAGAGTGAGTCGCTAGTATATAATATGATTTATCATATTATATACTAGCGACTTTATATACAAACGTACTTTATACACCTACGTACTATTACAGAAGAGATTTCCTTCTAAAAAAAGAACTGTCCCAAGCAAGTTACCAAACTTTCGTAACGGCAGCCTCAACGCCCACGCAAAAATAAATATTTATTCAACAGTCCTTTGAGGACCTTTTGTATTCATTAGAACGGAAGGAAGTTTACATCTTTAAACGACCCTCAAAAGTTGTATGAAAGTTTTGTATTTTCGAAATAGACATTTAATGTGGCTCAATCAAAATGTCAACACGCTTTTATTACATTCTCTTGTTAATATTACGGGTAAGTCTTCTTCTTTTTCTTTATTCTATGCTAAGTGGGGTCAGCACAAATCTTTCCTTCTTCCACTTTCTTCGCACATATCTTCTTTCACACAGACCATTCATAAATTCCATACATTTATAACGTTCATACCTAGAATAGTAATACTAAGTATGCAAACAAATTAAGGGAATCCAATTTGGTGCACTTTTAATCGTTATTAATATTGATTTGCAAGAGTTACATACACTCAAAATTTCAAAAAACTGATATCAAATATTATGTAGATAACATAAAACATTTAAATTTATGTACTTTATTAGTGACTTTCACTAATTCCATGTCTTATTTATTTGGTACCATATAAATGATTTGATGATGCAACAAGGAGGTCGATTGTGGGTTTTGATTTTTCAACAGCTACGAGCAAACCGATCGAATCTGGCCATATTTGCTTTTATTGTAATAAAAGTCAACAAAATGAAACTTTCGTTGCTTTTAGACACACTAAGTGCTCCTAAAGGCGATAGCAAGTTACAACTGGAAACTGTGAATTTTCGTTATCATTGTGTCCGAACGGATTTACCAAATGAGTCAGAAATGATTATATGTAAATCACTAATAGAAATGTAGTGCAACTTATTTAGTGCTATGAATAATGTACTTTTACTGAAACCAAAAAAGTATCATAATTGCCGAAGGTATTGTGTAACATACACACTTGAAAACATTGAAATAAATTAAGCAGGCATCCTCCTATTTAAAGTGGGTAAAGTATTGTATATACGTTTAACGTCCCACTATTGAGCACTAGCCTCCCTTCAATACAATTAGACCATAGTCTACCACGCTGACTAAATGCGGGTTGGCGGACTACATGTGTCTTTCGAAAATTTGCTAGGTTTCCTCACGATGGTTTCTTTCACCGTAAGACAAATGGTATTCAGAAGTCCGAGACCGGAGTTTAAGCCCGCTTCACTCGGTTTGCCAAGCGAACGCGTTAGCGCTGGCTACCACTGCCTTTAGGTAAATATTATCAAAATACATATTATTAAGTTTCAAATTATAAAAAAATTGAAGTTTGTAACACTATCATACTTAACTTGCAATCAAAACATTTTTTTGCTATGTACAGACATTCGACCTCTACTGTTTTATTATAGTATAGATAGATAATATAAACCGATCCGACAGATGTCCTGTCGCAATTTTAAACAACAAAAATTTTAAACAAAATCACCAAAAAGCATTTAGGTTTTCTCCTGAAGTATCCGATTTTCCTTATTTCCTGCGAACTTTCCTGTGAACTTTCCTGATTATATTTTCCGTAAAACATTATTCAATCTATAACGAACAGTTTAATAAATAAATTAGCTGAATCTGATGCCATTATCATGGACCAGTATTTAATGTTTATTAGAAAATTACTAAATCTCCAGAAAGAAAGCGCCAATTATATTTGATTATAAAATTTTTAATAAACAACTGAAGAGAGTGTTTGACGTGAAAGACCTGGGCGTGTTGTTGGATGCTGAACTTATATTTGATAAACATATAAATAATATAATTACAAAAGCATACAAAATGTTAGGCTTTATATTTAGAAGCGCTAGTGATTTTAAAAACATACATACATTTCATCTGCTGTATAATTCATATGTTAGATCTCATTTAGAGTATGCTTCGACTGTGTGGAACCCGCAATATAACAAATATATTGAAGCAGTAGAGAGTGTGCAAAATAAATTTATAAAGCGATTGAGGTATAGATTTGATGTAGTTGAAATTAAAAATTTAAATATTTTATCATTGAAGCAACGTAGAGAATACAGAGACCAAATTTTTCTTTATAAAATCATACATAATTTAATTGATTCCGATTATCTTCTAAGCAATATTAAGTTCAAATGCCCAACTTTTTGCACCCGTTCTAAAGATACTTTTTGTGTCCCTATGTGTAGAACAAATTATGCCAAGAACTGTTTTGTAATTGGAGCTTGTAGATCGCATAATACATATTATAACCAAATTGACATATTTGATAGTAAAATCAACAAATTTTCTCAAAGCATTAAGCATAAACTCGATCATCCTTGATATAATATGTATTTTGCAACCCTCTCTATACACAAAGATTATGTTTAGTTATTTTACGTATAGTTTGTATTTTTTTTTTTCACTCCATGTTTACTTATAAGTGGAAACTTTATTGGCTGATGAGAAGAATAGTTTGTATTTACATATTTCTGTATTAGAAAAGCTGTTTGTTTCCCAACTGATAATAAATAAATAAATAAAAATAAATAAATAAATCAGCGATTCGCTTTCGCTACACAAAGAGCGGCATATTCGTTAATTTCAGGTGATTGATCGAATCTTTGGAGCGTTCAGAAATAAATAGCAAACTAACAAACTTTCCCATTAATAACATAATATATATAATAGATACTAGAAATGATATTACACAGTCCATATATATAGGTAAAACGAGGTCGGGTTAGTTACACCATTTATAACTCAAGAACGACTAGACCGATGTCTATGATCTTTGGTTTGTTGGATTTGCCTCAGCCTCGAATAGCAGAATAACTATTAAAACATCGGAAAAATCACGAAAAAAAATACTAATATAGACTTACATGGCTAACGCTGGCTAATAAATATTTATATTTATTTAAAACGTACCTAGGAACGCAACCGAGCGAAGCGAGGTTAATTCGCTTGTTAGTACCTACTAAAAATAGATGAAGAATACAATACGCGGAAAATTCCAATAGGACCAAGGTTTCTTTCTAACCAAAAAAAAAATTACGTTGACCCTCTCTTACCTATCGAAAAACAATTAGTGTAAGTTCTAAATATTCGTATAATAATTGACTTTGGTTGCAATTCTTGAAGGTATTTTGTTAATTGAATTATTTTGGGCATAACATGATAAGATCAATACGAATTCACTGTGCGTAATCAAATAATATGTAGTATAAAATAATATACGAATGCATATTGAATGGAAAAGATTGGGTCGTGGGCTTTAAAAGCATCCAAGTCCCACTTCGTTCCTATTACTATAGCGCAAAAACTATTTAACAAGCCAATGACAACGGCATTGACCACGACCGTCATGTCTACTCGTAACGTGCCAAAGTAAAAGTCTAATCATTAGTATTCACTATTGGCACTAGCAATTCATACCTTTGTATACTTATGTTATCTAATATATAAATATCTCGTGTCATGGTGTTTGTGGTCGCACTCCTCCGAAACTGTTTGACCGATTTCAATGATTTTTTTTATATTTGGTAGGTACGAGAATAGGTCGTAAAGTATTTTTCACCCTCATACTACGATAAGTAAATCACTAATATCCTAGGTTTTACGCTCTAAAACCTCCCTTGGGAGTTAAAATATGCCTCTAAAATTTTCATGGCACCACCCTTTCAATTGAATTGAACACCCATGATTCACAGTTCACGGATATATCGCGTAACTAGATAAATAAAACATACACACAGATTGAGTTCCTCTTCCTTTTTGAAGTTGATCAAACATTATAATTATTAAAAGAAACCACGAACCTGGTTGCGAATGCTTCTTCTGTTCTGCTATTGGTCTGGGCGAGAGTGGTTCTGTTCCACGAGACACTACACGTCGCAGTTCGCGGTTGTAACCAGGGTCTGACGCGTTCCACGGACGAAGGTCCTTCACTCCACCAGCATGGACTTCCTTCATGAATTCCTCAATCAGTTCTTTGCCTATTGAAGATGGTTAGAAAATATTTTATATTAAAATTTTCATGTTTTTCTGTTATCTTATCTTTTTACATGTTACCTTACAAAAATATTTGTGATTATAAAGCTACTAGTAGTCCATTTAGCACGTAAATCTATTTAGTATAGATTATTATGAATGTGAAAATGTGTTTGTATGTTTGTTTGTTTGAAACGTAGTGACGGATTGGAGTGATTTTATGTGTGTAGATAGTTGGAAGTGATTTTACCGCGCGAGATTATCATTCCCACGGGAAAACAAGTTATAATACAACCCAAAAAAATAATTATGATCAGAAAGAATTACTTGAAACTTGGTATTAACGCTCTTCAATACAATTAAATAAATACGTGTTTCACCTTTTTTCGAAATTCATCCCATAAGGGAGTAAAATAAGGGGATGAAAGTTTGTATAAAACCTTTTTTTTGTAGTTTTAGCACGAGCGAAGCCGCGGGTTCTGCTAGTACCTATATAAAAAACTAAGAGAATTTGTACTGATACCTCAGTACAAATTTCAAAGATAACGATTGAGGTAAGAACTGAATTTTGGTACAGTATTACTCGTAAATATATACAGTACAGTTTGGGATAATCAATACGAGTACCTATGAGTACGCTAATCAACCTTGTTATTAAGATTGACAGCAAAAAGCAATGACTTTAGTCGTGACCACGATAATTAGCGCATTCAGTTAGTGCAATCAATTCAAACGTTGACTTATTGACTGTTACCAGAAGGATCCAAATCTGCACACTATAAAATTTCTGACCTTCAATCTTACTTCTTATACTACTTAATATATACAGAACGGCTATATAGTGGATCTGGATGAAATTTGACACAGAGAAAGATTATAGTCTGAAATAGCACATAGACTACTTACTTTTTATCCCGGAAAAATGTACGATTTCTGTTGGGTAATTTATTTTGTTTTTCACTAAACTAGGGTGAGTCGCTAGTTAAATAATACAAAAATAACCTGCCTTTAGCAATATTTGCTGCATATTGTTTCATGGCGATCTTCTCCACAGTGCTCTCAAGACCGAAAAAGTTCTTGACGTCGAGTAGAGCACTTTGCTCGAAACATGTCCAATCTGGGTTCTCCGGGTGCACCTAATAAAATATACGTTTTACAATAAAATATCGTATGACACGAATAATATTTCTTAAAATTAATAGTAGAAGTTTAATAATTTTAAAATAGGTTATTTTTTTTTAAATTCTTATCAAAGTAATAAATAATTTACACTTTAACGGTTAGTATGGATGCAAAAATAATTTTTCAAATCGGATTAGTAGTTGCTAAGATTAGTGCGCTCAAACAAACAAACAAACAAACAAACAAACAAACAAACTAACTAACTAACTCTGCCTCTTTATAATATTAGTATAGATTTCCCCAAAAAACCATTCAACCAAGTAAAAATAAATTAGGTATTATATTAGATTCGGCAAGTGAGATTCAGAGGATACAACGGGCCACTGACTCCGCGTTAACAAGCAATCCGTTGAATAAGTAGGACGAAAGAGAAAACTTATACATTTGTTCATTAAACAAATACTTTTATTCTATTCGAATTATTTTAAACTATGTATTTAAAAAAATTGGGCTAGAAAAAATTATCTATTGTTTATGGTAAAGTAAATGGCACGTGCTCCAAAATATGGCTGCAGTATTCTTTGAAAAAATGAACGGTAGCCTGCCAAAGTTTTTGCTGTGTATTCATAAAGTATCGATTGGGTCTAATTATCATTTGCATGTCAGTCGTGTACATCGACAGCTGTTACAAAAATTCTTTATATTGAACTCTAAGCGCAAGTGTGACGGTATGTAATTGCTTAAAACTTTCATAGGTATTGATTATGCTATAATAATCGTTGTTTCCTTTAGTATGTAATTAGTTTGATTGCTTTTACAAGGTCGCTGTGTCTTAAGCGCCCTCTAACAATAAGGTCGGTCAGTTTCTTTTAACTTTAGACAGGAAAGAAAACTATTATCATGACCGTACTTGTATCTTCCTCTTTCAAGGATAAAGCTAATAACATTTGTAATAAACAGTAAATATAGAAAGTAGTAAAAATGATTGGTGACACATCGTAAAGTTTGCAAATAAAATCGCAAACCGTCTTACAGCCTGTTCACCTTGCACTAGCTACACTAGCTCTAATAACCCTGACTATGGCTTAGAAAGTGCTTAAACAAACCAAACACTACACACCCACACTTCCGCTATCAAACAAGTAAGCCAGGGTTTCAACAGATTTAATTTAATTTTTAAATAAAACTATCTTTTCGGATTTTTTCGCGGATTTAATTTGATTTTTTCGCTCCCGACGTTTCGAATGATTTACAGCAATCGTGTTCACGGAAGAGACTAAGGTTTTAGACGTCTCAAAGGCATAATATAGTTATTACATATCGTATTTATGTCGCATCTTATACTGTCAAGATATAAGAGATGATAAGTGCTTGATAAGCTTTCCAAATATTTACAACTAATTAATGTATATTTCTCGTTGTACCATATCTAAAAATCATACATATAAATGAAATCGATCACTTTTATCTGAGGTAAGGATGAGCATTATTCAACCGACTTCAAAAAGGAGGAGGTTCTCAATTCGACTGTATGTTTTTTTTTTTTTTTGAATTATTGCAATCGTCTGGCTGAGTGGACGTGTCTGTCTTCTACGCTACAGGACGTAGGTTGAATATGTATTTATTTCGTCAAATTTAAAACAACATTTCATAGTTAGCAAAAAGTTAAAGGCAAAAGGGTCCTCTTTTTTCGTAGGTTAGTAATAGACCTTATATTATATATTTTATGTGATATCTTTGCTAATGGTGTGCGTTTTATATTTTTTATGAATATTGTATCTAATGGCTGGTTCCTCGTTTGCTTCAAAAAAACTACTCATAAAGGTGTAATAGCTTTTTTAAAGTGGTTTTAAAGTTAATGTACCTATTTAGTAAAAATATTATAAGGAACAAGAGATAAATTCATTATTTTTAAATTATACTCTATTATAATAATTTGAGTTAGCGAAGACTACATAATATGTTAATTTTATAGACATCAAAGATAATATGATATCAACAAATTAAATACATATTGTATAAGTCAGATCCCCCATATATCAATATCTGACGGTAGGATATCAAAATAGGATAATTGGATACATCGCAGTAAAAATTTAGCAAATTGATTGACGAATTCATGACCCCTCATCAGCTCCTTCGTCCCCTTCAGCGGAAGAACTCTATAAGCCACGAAATCCACTCATGATTAGGAATGACAGGATAATTTTACATTATTATATACATATTATATTATAATATTTATTTATAATATGTATGTATTTTATGTTATATTATGTGTAGTGTGTCAACTATCTGGTATCCATAACAACCTCGTAGCTTACCATGGATCTAGATGGTGGTGTGTCTTAATCTATACTAATATTATAGAGGTAAAGTTTGTGATCTTGTGAGTTTGTGAGTTTGTGGGTTTGTGAGTTTGTAAGTTTGTGACGTTGTAGGGGGTAATCTCTGGGTCTACTGAACCGATTTTCAAAATTCTTTTACCAATAGAAAGCCACGTTCATTCTGAGTGTCATAGGCTATATATTAACCCGAAAAATGAAAAGGCTTTTTCGTGGTAGTCGGATTTGCAAAGTAAGTCGGAGAAAAAACGGTCGAACGAAAACGTTTCTTATGAACGCTGCCTTAACGATGAGAGATATATGATTATGTTCTAGAGAAAAGTTGTAGAGCTTAATAATGCCTACAAAAAAGTCAGCGACAGCATATGTCTAACTTTTATATTTAAGTTACAAAAAGTAGTTTTTTATATTAAAAAAATAATTTAAATCGGTAGGTCATGTTTATTGGTCATATTATCAACAATTATGAATTCTTATCAAAATAAGTAAATTTATCGTCTAAAATGTTTCAAATAAAAGACTTTTCCCTTTTACTGCATATAATTTGGACAAATGGTTAAAGAGATAATACAACATATTCGTATGTATGGACGAACCCGAGCGAGCTGTTTATCTGTTTTTCTCTTTGTACGGGCTAATCTCCGGATCTATTGGACCTATTTAAATGAAATCTTGCATGGTGGTACCTTATATCCCCGGGCAACATCTTAGATACTTTTCATCCCGGAAAATTAAAGAGTTCTCGTGGGATAGTTAAAAAACTATAACAACTTATACAGCTTAGTACACAAAAACTACTGATTGGATTTTAATGAAACTTTACAATAATATAGTTCATACATGACAAAAACAAATCAGCTAATTTTCATCCCGGAAAATTAAAGAGTTTTCGTGGAATAGTCAAAAAACTATAGTAACTTATACAGCTTAGTACACAAAAACCACTGATTGCATTTTGATGAAACTTTACAATAATATAGTTCATACATCAGAATAACAAATAGGTAACTGTGTATCCCGGAAAAATGTACTTTTCCCGTGGAATAGATGTTTTTGTTTATTTGTAACGTATTATGTACACAACATAGACCCCAAAACAATAGTTATTAAAAAAATTGCCTATTTGTCTGATTGCATGTATGTCTATTTGTCTGTTTTTGTGTGTGCGTTTCACGCGAAAAGTAATGTACCAATTTCAACGAAATTTGGCGAAGTGATAACTTATTACTCGAGTCAACATTTAGGGTACCTTTTGTATGTATGTATGTATGTATGTTGTATTCAGCCCTTTTTAACACATGCACGGCCTCCCTTCAGTACGAGGTGGATCAGGCCATAGTCCACCACGCTGGCCAAGTGCGGGTTGGTGGACTTCACATGTCTTTCGAAAACTTGCTAGGTTATGTCAGACATGCAGGTTTTCCTTCACCGTTAAGACAAGTGGTAACTGTGTTAGAAATGATTCGCATATGAAAATATCACTCGGTTTCCCAAGCGAGCGCGTTACCACTGGGATACCACTGCCTAGATACCTTTTACTTAAAGAAAATCTTTCTTTCCCACGGGAAAATACAATAACTGGTTTTATCGAGTCCTCCCTAGAAACCTTCCTCTGACTAAGCCTTAAGACATACATCAAAACAATATACTAAAAAATGGTAGGTCTTGAAAAGTCCTACAGAAAAGTTGTGAATAGTATATGTCTATCTTCTAAGTTACACTCGCAATATTTATTCTTATCTATACCTATAATAAAACTTAGTCAAATCGATGTGCGCGTTTCACGCAAAAAGTACTCAACCTATTTTAACTTAATTTTGTATAGTGATAAAACTTAGTGCTCGGGTCAACATTAGAATAATTTTTACGACAGGCAAATTATTCATTCCCACTGGAAAATACAATAACTGGTTCTATCGAACTGTCCTTAGAAATTTATATGGCTAACGTTGGCTCAACCTTAAGAGATAGATCAAAACATTGTACAAGAAAATTGTAAGTCTTAAAAAGGTCTATAGAAAAGTTCTACATAGTATATGTCTATCTCCTAAGGTACACTCGCTATAACTATTTTCATTATTATATATTTCTGTTCTATTATACGTTATTTATTCTATTTGAATATAGGTACATATATGAATAATAAAACTGTAGAGGTCGAATGTCTGTACATAGATGGTAGAAAAAATTGCTAAAAAACGAGTCAGTTCTCTTCTTACATCCCGTAAGGAGAGAAATAGAACAAATTCAGATTTTTTCAATTTTTTTGTTTCTCTGTCTGTTTATCTGTTCGTACGGGCTAATCTCCGATACTATTGAACCTATTTAAATGAAATTTGATACTTTTCATTCCGGAAAATTAAAGAGTTCCCGTGGGATAGTTAAAAAATTATAGTAACTTATACAGCTCAGTACACAACAACTTATGCACCTAATTTAGTAAAATTTGGCATGCTGATACCTTATATTGCAGCTCAAACAACAGGTTACTTATTTTATTTTATTTTTATCCCGGAAAAATAAACGGTTCCCGTGGGATAGATCTGTTTGTGCTTTTCTAGAGGTGAACCCGAGCGAAGAGAGGGTGAGCCGCTAGTTTCCTAATATTTTTATATTCATTTTTTTATTACCTACTTAGGACCCTTCACAATTTTATCACCTATTTTATCATTAGGCGGGCGGCCGATATTCCTTTCCATGCATATTTTGACAGAAATATAACACATTTTAGCCTTCACAGAAGGGTGCTGATATGGGTACCAGTTCACGTGATGTGGCCGAACGTGAAAGGTGACACGTAACTTTAGATAAACGTATTCGTATTATCGAGGGCAGAAACAACAATCTTTTATAGGCTGTATCAAACGAACAATTGAACAGCTGAATGGGTTCAGTAGCAGTTCAATAAATCGCAAGTACCAATAGCGTGAAAGTGAAGATTTATATGAATCTCACGTTTATAGACGAAATGAAATAAAAAAGAACTTTTATTGGTTCTAAGAAAATATATGTTTAACGTTTTGTAGATTCTGTTGTTGATAGGTATAGTAAAAACTGGTTTAAGAGGTGAAAACGTAAATAAGAAAGTGAAATTATAGAAAAATGTCGCTCCAAATTCCGTTTTATGTTACAATATATGCGATGAAGTTAAAGTTGATAGAAGAAGTAAATTGAAGTTCTTAATCAAATCGTTTAACAAATGAATCCACATCCTCTCAGTTCATTCTCGCTTTAAAAACACGCTTGAAAAAGATCTTAATTTAGACAGTATGATGGTTGTGGAAATTAAACGTAACTCATAGAGTCATTACTATTGCAAAATCGAGTGCAAACATTTTGTTTATTATTTTTTGCAATTTTATTTTATTTTACAATCTAGTTTATAATTTATAATTTTATTTATAATTTTATTTTATAATAGAATTTATATAGGTCGGAGTAAAAAATACATAGCAATAGTACATAAGTGTTTATATACGAATGTTATTGGAAAAAGAATTAGGAGGATTTTTAAGATAACTTACAAATATATGTATAATAACTGATTTATTTTTTACTTAATAACACAATTTAGAGATTACAGGAAATCAAACACATATTGATGAAACTAAATACATAAATACAAGTTGTTTATATTCAGCTAAATACAGACGAATAATATATAAGTATATAGTATATGTGTATATATGTATGTATGTATGTATGTCATTAATAGAACAGGTCGTACTTTAGTCAGGACAAGTCAGAGTTTTATGACCATGTCACAACAAATGACCATAACATGCTTTTAGAACATGAGAACTCTCTATATCCTTCATATTACACATGTTTCCTAAGATAAAAGTAGTTTTGGTATCAGTTCAGAATTAGATGTTTTACGTCATGACAAGGTATTTGGTGTACAGTGTGTCTGGATTTCATTCAGTTGTGTTTTGACTTGCGGATCAAATAGAGGAATATCTCTCTACTGCTAAGCCCAGACTCAAATTTCTTAATACTCATTCAGATACTACTTTCCGCATTAATTGGAAAAAGCTAAAGCTAGCTTAGAACTTATTTAAGTAACTAAGTTGATTCCCCATACATACAAACATCCATCCCAATTTTCACCAATTTAAGGGATGACTTCCGGAGTAAAAAATATCCAATGTCCTTCCCAGGGTCTCAAACTATCTTCTTACTAAATTTCATCGGTAGTTTTTTAGTTTATTCGTTCAAACATACAAAAATGCAAATCTTTCTTGCAAATAATATTAGTGTAGATTAAACTTAGATCTCTTTGTTAGCTCGTTGCGTTTAAATTGTAAACTGCACAAAAACAAACTAAAACCTGTCCAGACGTCATCACGTGTGTGACGGACGACCAACTCATCCGCCTTGTTACATTAATATATACATATAAATGGGCTAATTAACAAAATCTTTTTATTTTTATATATATAATTTTATATTTTCAACCTATCTAACATAATTAATGAGAAATACAACAATTGTCTGAGATCATTAATAAATCGTGGTATTAAAAAGAAAAAAGTAATTGTAGGAGAGAAATATTTTCAACTCGTTTCTCAAACAAAAGTATTAGACGACACGTTTAGATTAGTTTGTGGGCATTCATTTGTGTGATGAATATTTGCACGAATATTTGTACTCCACTCATGGATATTTATATTTATAATTTGTATGTATTTAAAGTTATATAATATGTGTAGTGTATCCACTGTCTTTGTATATTACATGGTATCCATAACACAAGCCTCGTAGCTTACCATTGAACTAGATGGTGCTGTCTTTTAAAAAATATATGATAGTTTTTTAATTAAAAAAGATGCTATACTCACATAATATTTACATTTCTCGACCACAGAGACTCTAGCGGCAAAAGTTTCGTTAGTTGCCTCAATCTCCAACACCCTGTTCTTGAGATCCAAGTGGTTCTTCTGAATAAAGTAGATGTAGTCGACACCAATCATCTAAATCAATAATATACAAAAATCGATTACATTGATATTAATTGTTTACCAGAGGACTGAGTCATCATGAGATCAGTAACTAATTCGATTCGAGAAAAGAAAGAAAATACAAAAAATAAAAGAGAAAGATAATAATATCAACTTCGCGAATCAATTGAGTAATCTAAGGTCGCAAAAATTGTTTTAGTAGCTAGTCTAGTAGATACAAGGATATAATAAAATAAATGAAACGTTTTACCGTAATGAAGATAAAATTACGAAATCAACTACAATATAATTCGATCAGTTAAAGTATCATTAAGTGGCATTTCTACTTATATAATATAAATATTTACGTATCAAATGACTGAAATGATTTAAATTTACAAGAACCGATCTACTGGCCCTTGCGTTCTTATCAATAACAATTACTAGATAAAATATTGTAATATAAGTTATACGTAATGTTATGGATGTTTAATAAAAAAAACTATTATTAACATAACAATATTATTAAAAACGTTGCCTTACTTTTTTCAACAGATAAGGCGCATCAACGTTGAGTTGACAACGTCTGTTGGTGTGCCGCTGGGAGTCATCCGCAGACCAGCTATCTTCTGTTATCACGCACTCTATGACGACGGGGATTTGGGGGCAGCTCGGAAACCGCATCTCATATGCCTGATGACAAAGATAGATTCGTTATTATAGATATTGTTGACCATGGCAATAAGACATGATCATAGATTATACACTTATATACTGACATGATTGTCATGAAATGATATCTTTTATAAAAAATAAATTGCCAAAAATACATTACATATAATATTTTAACTCAAGCCCATATCTAAAATGAAAAAAAGATATTTGACTACTTTATTTTACTGGTAACGCATCTAAGACGATGGTAATAAAACTAATCAAACTACATCCTACGACAGTACGACCTTTTTGTAATGTAAATAATCTCTTACAAAAAGCAATTTATTTGATTGATTAAAATAAAAGGGCCAAATTCAAATAACATAATTTCTTTACTGTAAAGATTTAAAAGGGCTCACCGCACATAATAAACACATAATTCACCAAACAATGTCTAGGTGCAAAGCTTCTAACCGTAACATGGATAGTTTCACGGGACAATGTTTATTGACACGCATCGCGCGGATTCTTCGGCGAAATTGTTTATATTATCTACGTTCCTTCTAAAAGCTACCTAGAATTGACATACCTACGTGATTATAAGAAGTAATACTTTAGAAGTTATTTTTTTCTATCTTAATAGTAAGTAATCAGGAATTAAAATTATTATGATTTCTGACAGTAAACACATTTTTGTCAGACAAGAAATAGCTTATAGCATCGGTGTTAATATTAGAGCTTTCTATCAGAGAAAGAATTTTCAGAATCGGATCAACAATTTCAGACATTACCTCCTACATACGAAGTTACAAACTTTACCTCTTAAGTCTTAGTAATATTGTAAATTGGTTTTATTTTATTATTCAATAGATATGTACTTGCTATGTTTAAGAACATAAAACAAGACAAAGAGTTTAAGGTGACATTTGAAGCTTCATGAGCGTAATGCCGCCAGGAAACGCAGATTCTTAAAAAAAAACTATTAAAAACCTACATATTTTTTATATTGAGACAAAACACTCTCCCTTGCAACCTTCAGTCGTCGTTTGGTAAGCGACCTCGGCAGCGCGGATATGAAATCTAGATTGAGCAATCTTGGCGTAAACCGCATCAACCTAAATGCCTGTTAAGCATTCCATGTTATCAAGTATTTATTTTTTACACTTCTATTATATTACTTTAACGTTTACATTAAAAAAAATGAGACAAAAATTATAGCAAAGTGAGATGTCTAATTGCTATGAAGTAGCACCTCGTGAGGTTAATTATGTTTCAGTGCATTAAACTATTCTAAAGTTTCCTCTGTACGCTAAACTATTTCTAAATATTATATTTATTAAAATGAAGCTTTTGGCGGTGATTCGATTACCGTAGTAGCTGTTTACGACATTTTCTTTTTAATTTGGGAAATGCATTTACGCATACCACCTGTAGAAATACAGGTGGTCATGTGGGACTCACCGGCTAGAAAGCCAATACTACCTAGGTACTAAAGCCCCAAAAAACCTCCCCCGTCGTAATGGAGCGTCTCAGGATCGCTTACGTACTCAGCCATGACGCTCCGACGGCAGGTCTGCCGAAGCAGACCACAACAATCATGGAGTTGCTCCAACGGTCAACTCTACCGTCAGAGAAGTATAAGGAGTAACCCGAATGTTACGCCGCCCACCGAAGGGGGTCACCTCCCTGCGACCCCCTTCCCCTCTTCCTACCCAACGACAAGGTGAACTTACGTTGGGGGAGAGGGGGGGGGGGTTGGGTGGTGAGCTGTTTACGGCACTAACCAAACTAAGCACAAAATTTTTTATTATTTTTTCGACTACAGTTACGTTGTTGGTCTTCATAGTGAATACATACATATATCGATCCAAGAAATAATTATGTGACTTGTCTGTAAGGAATTTGCTAACCACTTCTATAAGCGGTGAGCAAAGTATCTATATACTGTGGCTGAATATTTTAGGCTATTTTTATCGATGTATCATACTGATGGACCCTCAGAAAGTCTAAGAATGTGTTTTTATTAAGACAAAGCGCGTTGGGTTCGTTAAACCTGGTGTGTCTTAAGTGATTTGATAAATTTTCTCCACAAATGTAAGTGTGAAACTATACGGTATACCTAGATAGCATAGCTACTACACTAAGCTTTACTAATAACACAATTATGTTATCTTTTTTGGGGCCCGTACCACGCTTATGCGATATGTGTAAATCGCAAAATAGTTATTATGTCAAGAGAGACATTAACCCTAAACGAGGTTCAAACCCACAGTTTCCGGAATGGCGATATACTTACTCTGACCAGTACACGCGGCGCGGCGGTAATCTGCAGGCGATAAATAAAAATAAAAAAAAATAATGTCATACGATAACATAATTTAAAACTATAAACGTCATAATATTTTTATCTTTAAGAGGAAACCGGTGATTTAAGTCAACATCTACATAGCGGAAGATATTTGATGCCACTGCGTAAGACGTACACTTATCAGTAAGCACTATAATAAAACAGAACCCTCTTCATAGAACATTTTGAACCCATTGTTATGCTAAGAGTTTGAAACGGGACAGAAATGAAAACAAACAATTCTTAGAATATTCCTATCTATTTATTATTGTGTAAATAGTACACAAAATTGAAACATTTTGAACAACAATCAAATTGGTATATACTATACATGTAAAACTAAATTATGTATAATTGAAGAACCCTTTTAAGATTACTCTATACCTATGTATGTTTGTATGTTGCGGCTATTTCCTTTAAATCTATTTTATAAAACATGTTGAAACTTGGCGAACTTAGATCGCAAACTACAGGTAATAAAAGTTAATAAGTTCTAAAAGTACTCGTTACATAGATACTTTATACAATATAGAAAGACGGTCAAGATGTTCTGAGTGGAGTAAATCGATACACGTGCCAAATTACTAAGGCATGAAATAATATAAATAATATGAAATATTATATATTTTGCTTTGTGTTATGCTGTGGTTTTACGCCTCGCCGCCTTAGCCTAATAACGCAAGTGCACGCTGCACGGACACATTGCAATTAACATGTTAACCTAACTATGCTTCTGCATCTGTACATCTTCTGTCTGCGAAAACAAGAAACGCCACGTGCTATAGTTCGTATAATGCAGAAGAAACATGAAATAAATACATAGATAAGTTAAGTCTATTTTGCGTCATTTTTAAAGATCTGTACCAAAATCGTATTAATTGTAGCCTTAAAAAAAAACAAAAATCAAACTTTTTTACGTAACACACTAAAACTGATAACACACAAATCACAATACAATACAGTAGCTCAAATATTTCGCCTTTAATTTTGTATTATAAATTAAAAAATAGGTATATTAATTATTCCCGATGCCTCAACTATCCTAATTAATTAACCTGAACTAACCAAATCGAAATAAACATTCATCCTTTAATTAAAATAATTTGGTTTTCAGAGAAAACTTACAAAAATGGAGTTATAAGAGAGAGACAGATGGCAGAACGCTAGTAAAAATAGTAATACGCAAATATGTATACATATATATATTGCAAGTACATACATTACATACATAAGGTACATACGTAGCATGTACGTACATAAGGTCAAACAGCAATTAAATATAATAAACATTTTTTACATAATGTTCATTGATAGTTTGAGGGATAAAGCAGAGCAAGTCCGACTTTGATAATGATAGGGCGATAGGCCAGTTTTAACGGTGTTTTGTTTAATATTTACTTTCCAAGGCACTCGTAATGTTTTAAAAAATTAAATAACATTAGGAGCTCATTAAAAAACGAGTTCATACATTTCAGTAGCAGTCAATATATTATAATATGTACTTAATCGGCTGACGTAGGGGTTTGTATACCTGCTTCTATATGAGGTCACGACATGCTTTGTTTTGGCAAATAATATTTGGGTAAAGAACAAATAAATACCCGAGTAGAAAACAAACAAAGACAGCGTCTGATAATAAAATAGATATAAATAAAGCAGAGCTTCTTTACAGATACAAACAACTCTTTAAATTTTCCCAAATTGTAGCGTTCGGAGAATATATGTATATATTTCCAGATCATTCACGTGCGTAGGACGAATGATCATGATGCGCAAACATTTACGAATGCCTTTATCAGGGCATCTTTGTTTAACTTTGATTCTAGTACAAAGCTCGAACGTTACGCGTATACATCTGAATATGCAATACGTGTATGTATTATGGGTGTATTAAACTGTATAAGTATTTTAAAATTTATTAATAACATTTTTTAACCCCTGTTTGACGTCGATGTCTGTCTGTGTCTGTGTGTCTGTCTGTGGCATCGTAACTCTCAAACGGATGGACCGATTTCAATGCGGTTTTTTCATTTGAAAGCCAGTTTCCTTGCGGTGGTTCTTAGCTCTATGTTTGGTTAATATCGGTCCAGCAGTGTAAGAGTATCAGCTCTTTTCCAAAATGATGTAAGGAATTTTGGCGTATGATTACTCGATTAAGTGCCAGTGTAATCATAATACTTTCTTATATTTACGCGAATGTTTGACATTATTAAATAAAACTATCTTTTCGGATTATTTCGCGGATTTATTTTGATTTTTGGTTCCCGACGTTTCGAATGCTTTACAGCATCCATGGTCACGGGAGAGACTGAGGTGTTACATGTCTTAAAGATATAGTTGTTACAGACAGCCTACCCACAATCAACAAAATGAAAATTGCACCAATTACATTACAATATTTTAACTTTAAACATTTTTATAATTTTAATTATAATTGAATATGGAAAATTATTTATTTAATTTTTGCTATTATTTTTATAATTATTACAATTTTAAAAATATTAATTAGTAATCTATATTTAGTGTTGCCATTATTATATTTATAACCATAAAGAAAAATATAAAATATAGTATTAATTATTTAAGCCATATAATTGTTCAATGTGTAATTTAAAAAGTTAAAATTAATTAAGGATTATAATTTTAATTTAGTTTGCTATTATTTAAAAACAACTTACTAAGCAACACT